CCCAGACAGTGCACGTGCACACCGCCAGAGCTACCGGGGCACCGAGGGGCTGGGGCTGCTCCTTGTTTTTGCAGACACACACCCACACATACACCAACACACCAACACACACACACACACCAACACAGCACACACACATACACAAACACAGCACATACACCGACACAGCACACACACACACACACACACACACACACACAAACACAGCACATACACCGACACAGCGCACACACACACAGCGCAGACACACACACACCAACACAGCACATACACCGACACAGCACACAACACACACACCAACACAGCACACGCACACACCAACACAGCACACACACACACACACAAACACAGCACACGGACACACAAAGCACCTGCGTGCGCACACACACACACACACTAACACAGCACACGCACACACAAACACAGCACACACACAAACCAACACAGCACATACACACACACAAACACAGCACACGGACACACAAAGCACCTGCGTGCGCACACACACACACACACTAACACAGCACACGCACACACAAACACAGCACACACACAAACCAACACAGCACATACACACACACAAACACAGCACACGGACACACACAGCACCTGCGTGCACACACACTAACACAGAACACACACACACAAACACAACACGTGTACACACACACACACTAACACAGCACATGCACACACACACAGCACGTGCGCACACTAACACAGCACACACACTAACACCAACTTTTCATAAGAAACTGGCAGCTGCCCATTGCTTTCCTGCTGTCGAGAAACCCCAGTGATGCTTTCCCCACCCCTCTGGGAGCACTGATCATCGGTCCCTGCTTCTTGACCTGCTTACCCCACCCTGTGGGCCTCAGCAGCCACTATTGCCCGCCTGGCCCTGAGGGTGTCAGAGGAGCTACCGCTCTGCTGATGGGGCCACAAGGGGTCAGCCACTGCAGTGTGAGAACTAGTGACTGACCCTTAGCTGTGTCCGAAGGCATGGCTCTCCTAACGCAATAACTGCACCAGGGCCACTCACGCTTGTGCAACCTGTACAAGCTTTTGAAAATGTCAATTACATTTGAGTATAGAAAAATAGCATGTAAAAAAACAGAGAAAAATGTTGTGTGGGAGCTATTATGAAATGTATTATAAAATAGATCTCACAATTTTTCAGTAATTTTGCTCTGAAATTCCCCTTCCCCCAAAAGCACCAATATGACATCATAGTAGAGCAGTTAAATAACCCAAACCTGATCACTAGAGTACTTCATTGTAAGATAACCGACTTCTTCACTACTCATGCTGCCAGCCTTAGGATCCATTCAGCTCTTTAATAACTGACAGTTTGCCCTGAATGCCTTAAATATCTTAAAATCCATCAAAATACATACAGCTATACCAGCTGTTATAGAGAAGAGGCTGCAGTTTCTTTTGCCTGTGCATTCTGCCCTGAAGTTCTAAGCCTGTCTAAAGGTTCCTCCCTCTGGTTGGATCAGTTACATGAAATTGTATAATCACAATCGCAGTCTTTGCCAGCAGAGCTGTAGTGACCTAAATTCTGCCTGATGACCCCATTCTTTATCTTATTGTTATATAAGGAAGCTGGCATAACGTAGAGATCCTCAGGAAGGAGCTAGGGCTGATCCCAGCAAATCTCCTGAAGATCCCCAGGAAGGAGACAACGGCTGATTCTGGGAAGGGCCAAGGATCACCAGGAAGGAGGTAAATAACATGAAACTATCTGCAAGTAAATCAGGAAATGACAGTCTTTTTTGCTGGGCCAGGCTTGTGGCCATGGGATATTTGCAGATTTTTAGGGGGAACCCTGCTCCCATCCAGTCTGCCTCTATATTCAATATAGTGATAATGATGTTACTGTGATCCTTACTGCACTGAAACAGGCTGACCCCTCCATCAGAGAGGGGACTGACACCCTCTCTGTCCCTGCCCTATCCCCCTTTGCAGTGAACCCGATATGTGCCAATCTCTATTTCATCCACCACCGAGCGCTGTGGGACAGCACTACAGGCCCTTGGCCATGTCCCTAGGCCTGCTACCCCCTCATTCTTCAGCCACCCAATGCATTTTGGGAGAACCACAGACTTACCATGGGGCTCTAGTCTGACTTTTAATCCAACAGGCTGGTATCCACCTTTGGCCCTTAAAGGTTCTGGGCCAGTGTTGCTTATTGAAAGCAATCAGTACCAGGGTTGTTGTTGTTTTTTTTAATAAATCATACTAACACATTTACCCAGCATTGCTTGGGTAAAGAGGGGCTCAGGGCAGAGGTGTAGGGGTGCAGGAGTCAGGGCAGGGGGTTAGGAGGTGGTGGGTGTCAGGGCTGGGGTACAGTGTGCAGAAGGCTGTCCAGCCAGCAGTTCCCCGGAACTGTCTGAGTTTTGTGGTAGCATGGTGCCTGGCCAGCGGCTACCTGGGGCTGGCCAGCATCATCCTGAGCACTGCCCCTAGCTAGCCACTCTTGCACCCATGCACCTGCCCCCCTGTGATCATTCTGCAGTATAACTATACTTGCTAGCAGATTTCTCCCTGTGTGTTTTTATGAGAAACAATTGTATTCCAGGCAAATCCCATTGTCCTGGTGCCTTGCTTTACGTTATGATAAGAGGAAGCTGCACACCAGATTTGGTGGTATTAGCTCTTATCATTTACAAGGAGTTCTTGAACAGACTCAGAAAACTGGACACACACACACTCAAATATGTAGTAGGTGAAAACTTTTAATTTAAGATTTAAAAATGAGAAGAAATTATCACTGGCACTAAGCTATCATTATTAGCGCTAAATACCTCCATCAAATCAACAAGTCATGCCTGAAGTTAGTTGCAACCATGGACTGGAATTATATCAACAGATTAGTACCAAAAGTAAGTTCTAAGTAGGAAACCGTGTTTATTGACTCAACAATTTAATCAAAATCAATCCAATTTATCATTTGAATCCAGTTAAATAGCTTAATAATGAAACCAGGTCATCAAAAGTCCAAACCAAAACCTCAGAAAAAATAATAATACATAGGGAAGTTACATGAGTGTAAGACAGGGTGTGAATTTGCAGTGCGGTAATTACGCCAATAGTTTCGCATGTGGACACTTGCTTCAGTTAAGAGTGCCTTTTTCTGTTTAGCTTGTCATTTTGGCAGGGGATAAAAGCTAAACCCAAAAGCTATGTCTAGACTGGCAAGTTTTTCCGGAAAATCAGCTGCCTTTCCGGAAAAACGTGCCAGCTGTCTACACTGGCCGCTTTGTAAGAAATCAGTGCTTTTTGCAGAAATACTACGCTGCTCCCATTCGGGCAAAAGTCCCTTTTGTGCAAAACTTTTGCGCAAAAGGGCCAGTGTAGACAGCTGAGATTTGTTTTGCGGAAAAAACCCCCAATGGTGAAAATGGCGATCGGGTCTTTTTTGTGCAAAAGCGCGTCTAGATTGGCCATAGACGCTTTTCCGCAAAAAGTGCTTTTGCGGAAAAGCATCCGTGCCAATCTAGACGCTCTTTTCCGAAAATGCTTTTAGCGGAAAACTTTTCCGTTAAAAGCATTTCCGGAAAATCATGCCAGTCTAGACGTCGCCAGACTGTTCATCTTAAACCAGAATAAGTGTCCACCTGAGGGGCTCCATCAGTACAGTCTAACTACAGCACTTTGAATTCACACCTGACCTTATTCTGGTATCATTTACCCCAGTAGGCAAACCCTAGTCTTTTGGGATGGGGCATACAAAACCCAAAGTGGCATGCAAAGGGCTAACGCATCGGGCTGGGCACAGCCCCTTAAACATGCACCAAGTGCACAACAGCTTGGAAAGGCTGGGTCAGGAGGCTGCCGACCCTGCGGGGGAGGGAATGGAAGCTAACCACTAGGCATCGCAGCCCCTGGGCACCACCCCCGGCCAGTGAGCGCGCGCAGCGGCCACCCCCCAGCTGCACAGCTGGAGCCAGGGGAGCGGAGCGGCTGGGCCGGGAGGGGGCGGGCAGCCCCGCCCCCGGGATCCCCAGCTGAGGCGCAGGGGCGGTCCCTGCCGGAGGAAGCAGGAAACGAGGCCGGGGCAGAGGAGCG